TATTTTTTCTCCTTAAAGAAGGTAAGAGTCTTAGTTAATAAATATTGATAGCATGTTGATGTTATTCCATCATTTTTAAAATGTAAGACTATTTAAACTCGAGAAACCAGACGTTGAAAAATTTGGGTGCGGTGGTCAGGAGCGAAAAAGGCATTGTTTTATTTTATTTTATAACCGTCGTTGAACAGCCGACCCAATTTCATGGGTTTACGACTACTTACGTTCAACTCCGTAGCCTTGTAATTTTGAACCAATCCAGAAGACAAGGAAACTCCTGGATCAGTACCCCCAGAGGTATTGATTTGTTGTGGGAACATGGAGGACTTTGAGACTCGACAGATTTAACGTGCATCAGTCACCATTTACTACACGGGGAGTCTTTGGCCGACGGGGACAGAACCCTATCGACCAGGCTATCCCGGCCTACTGTATACTCTACATTGATGTTTTTTAAGGTTAAAAGCCACTACCTGTTGTATATTATTGCCCATGCTCTGTAAACTATAAAGTAACTACACAGGTAGAATGCCTAGTGGGACAATACCGATAAGTTATAATTTAAAAAATGTTGTTTTCTTCACTAGAAAAACAAAAGAAAGTTATACATGTTGTATGATTTAACCCCAAGTGTTGAAGTCACAGGAGGAACTTTTTATTCTGGAGATGAATTTGAAGCTGAATTTGTAAATGTTCTCGGTGATCAGTGTTACAGGTATCTACTTCAAGCAGTAAGTTTAATGCTTTTTTTACATGTTCATATGTAATTTGTTGCGTTCTTAAATTATACACAATTTGTTACTATTAACTAATATACGATACCTTCTGTGAAAAAAGTAATCCATAATGATTTAAAAAAAGTTTGTTGCAATGTAGATTTTAATTAATAACTTCAAATAAATTTTGCGATTTTGTATTTAATGTTTAATTTATTCTATTTGTGGTTCTTAATTTCAAAATTATTAAATATAAATATTATGTTTAAAATATATTTGATGAAAGCAGGATCTCTTTTGTCCTGTGTATCATGGCCACAAATAAACATAACTTTGATGAAATGCAGCACTTTTTTCTTTCTTTTTAGAACGACAATAACAGCCATTTTATTTAAAAACAATTTCCTGTCTCGGCTGTCAAATATCTACGAACAAATAATGAGCAGTCAAATTTAAGTCTCCATAATGAATGTTAAAATTATTGCAAAGTTTCCTTTTTGAAAAAAAGGGGGTAAATAAAAAAATTACATTCTTCTTCACTGGCGCGGCAGTCTTGTGTGGGCCCTGACCTTCTCTAGGAGTTTCCTCCAACTGTCCCTCTGGCGACTGTCTTCCAGTTTTTGATTACTACTTTCATTAATTAAAGCACTTTACATGAAGTAAAAATTATTATTTTTTATTTAGAATTTGCTTCTTTCACAAGTTTTATTTCATTAAGAAAATATTAACTATAATAATGTTAAAAATTCAATGGTGTGATACGAAGGAAATATTTATTGAATTTAAGTAGTTCCATCGATATTATTTTTTAATAATTCATATTTAAAATACTCATATAAAGTATTTCATCACAAGACTCAAATTTACTTTTAAAATATTGACTTTATTAAAACATCCATGTAACAGCATCTGTTTATTGATAGAATCTATTCCATCAACTACTAAAGAATTAGTTTTCAACTAGCCAAATATTCAACTCGGTTCATCCCTATGACAAAAGTAAAATTGACAGTTGTAGGTAAACTGTTGGCATGAGGCTCTTCCTTCCATCTGCAATTTTTAACTTTCTTATAATTTTCTACATTTTCTCTCCTTTCTCTTCCAATTTTTTATCATATATAAGTTGCAAAATAACCATTATGCCAAAAATTTTACATTACACACTTTTCAAAATCCATTAAAGCTTATCACATAAAACTTAAAATTATAGATTGATAAAGATTTAGGTGAAGTATTGGCAATTCAGATTTTTCAATGTGGTTTATTAGGCTGTCATCTATTAACTAATGTCTGTACAAATATAGTTATGTTTCGCCAATTTGGTTAAAGTTTCTATGGTCAGTTTTGCTGTTTATATTGCTAAGCAATAACCATAATTTTATGTTATGAATTAATTTTATCTTATTTAATTAAAATTTTATGTTACTAAACTTTCATTATTCCAAGTTAATTAGAAAATTTTCAAATGCTATATTTTTTTAAAAATCTTTTTCTGTTAATCCCCTTTGGAAATTTTTTTTTCAAAACGTGCTTACAAGTTGTTCAATATAATATATACTATACTGTGTAATAATGTTATACTATATGATATTATTTAAGACTAATTTGTGTGTATAATAATATTCTATATGATATTATTGAAAACTAATTTGTATGTTTAATAATATTATACTATATGATATATTTTTATATAGTATAATATATTTTTTATCCCATGAAGCCGCATTTAGTTAAAAATATATAATTAATAAAATTGCGGCATACAAATTAGTCTTCAAATTAAATTTTTTTCCATAATAATTTTTTTTTCTCTTGCTTTTTTTCTCTTCTTTTTGTATAATCTCATGCATACAAACTAGTAATTCTCACTTCTTAAAAAAATATTTAATTATTTTTCCAGAAAATCTTAAATTACTTATCAAAAGACCACATGAATCCTTATCACATAAATGTGTAATTTTAAATTTTATTTAAACTCCTTGGAAGCTAGTTAAATGACTTTATTTTTTTGGTTTAAAACTTGTTTAATTTCATTAAAGGGAGTTTCAGAAAGATTACTTTTTTAATTAACGATTTAATATTCTACTTAGAAAGTACTTCGTATGTGAACTAGGCATTAATTATGTTTATTTGTGCTTTAAAGGGAGTTTCAGCAATGCAGTTTTTATTAACAATTTAATATTTTACTCAAAAAGTTGTTTGTATGTGAACTCTACATTAATTTTGTTTAAATATTTGTATTTAAAAGGGAGTTTCATCAACGTTACTTTTTTGATGAACAATTTAATATTTTACTTAAAAAGTTAGTTGTATGTTAACTCTACATTTATTTTGTTTATTTGTGTTTAGAAGGGAATTTCAGAAAAACTGCTTGATCCCCTTTCTCAAAGGCATGCCTCTTTTAAGTCTTCAAAGGAGATTTGTGATTACATTAATGGACTGAAAATAAGCACAGTAAGTCATTAATGAAAAGAATTTGAATTTTTTTGTGGACAAAGTAAAATTGAATTTGTAATGATTATATAATTTTTAATATATTTTGTCTTGTGTTGCAAAATAAATTTAAAATATCCTTTTTGTCTTAAAACTTGTTAAAAATTTGAGAAAAATGTATCAGTAATGATTGCTAAAAACTTTTTTTTAATTTTGACTATAGTCACGTAAGATTTCTTTTATATATCAATCGCTTGACTACCAATTATGTAGAAGTCTGTTAAATTTTTGTATGAAATACACAGTATAATATTATTTCAAATAGCCAAAATTTCTTGCTAAACATTTTTATTAGTGTTGTAGCATCAAAATCACTGTGGACTGATTGTAAAGACACGATTCCCAGTAGAACACCGAAGTCAAGCATCACTGGCTGTGGTCAATAAGCGGATGGGTGACCACTTGGATCAGCCTGCTTAGGGACCAAGGGTACGCGGGATCAATCCTCGTTAAGCTGTTCTGCCATAAAGTGCTCGACTTCGCACGCAGGTCGTCAGGCTACAAATGCAGGGGAGCCATCCCCTCTTCAGAGGATCAGAATTACGATGGCATGTCTTTGGATCATCCTCGGGGATGTTTCCCAGACCGTCGCCAATAGCCCATTGTGCAGCTCTAGTACAGCGTAAATAAAGTACCTACCTACTAATGGGGGAACTCTAAATTACTGACATCAGTGCATTTCCTTTATTTAAATAGAGTATAGAATTATTAACAAAAAATTTTGTTTATTATTGTATTTGGTTAAAAATTCTCTAAATTATAGATGTAGTGTGTAGTCTCTTGTGTAGATTCTTGGCAGGTATTTTGTATCAATTTTGTCTGGCAGCAACAGTAAGAAATGATACTGTACGCAGAATTATAACTTTTTATCCAACTTCAAAGAGGCAGCAGAAAAAAATTTCTATAAGTATATAAACAAAGATTATAGATATGAGAAATTTTGCAAAAACAAAATTAAGTAATAAACTGAAAAATTGAGGAAAACAAAGCTTTCTACGAAAAACTTGTTATTGTGCGCTGTTTTTCCACGTATCCCTCTATCACGCCTGTGATTTTTTATTATTTAAATCTTGATCTTATTTTTTTTTCTTATGGATTATTAAATAGTTTGCAATTATCATTAAACTTTCTTAATGATCTTTAAGTAATAGGTAATTAAAAGCACATGCTTAATAAAAAAAGCTATTTCTGCTGAAAAAGATTAATAAAGCTAAGAAATGTCTGCACTATGTGAATGAACACTATAGGTTTATAAAATGAATGGCACATATTACACAACAGGGAAATTTACTTGTTAGTGATTGTTTTTCACACCATTGGGTATTCCAAAATGTATTGTTATAGTTCCAATTTTCACCTGGTTCTTCACAATCAATTTTGTAATTTTTTATTATTGAAAGTTTGGGTGAATTTGCATGTTCTTAACTTACCTAAACCAATTAAAAAAATCCATGCATTATTACTCAAATTTGATGAAAAGATGTCAGAAATTTAAAGTGTCCAATGTTTAAAGATGCTCTTATATATATTTTTATGTATTGTTATTATTATTTTATATTTATTTTATAATTATTATTTTATATATTTAAAAAAATTTCAAACCTTAAATTTTTTTGTGAAGTAATTATTTTATATTTCTTGTAGGTGGAGTTAAAAGTTTTTGATATTGAAAACATTCTAGAATCTTTAATCTATGATGGTAAAATAGTGAAAAATACATCTTTAGGTTTGGGTAAGACTTCAGAAAATTGTTACGCCGTTTCAAAATCTGTGCTTTCTAATGTTGGTTTAATGAGGATGCCTTGTGGGGTGTGTTTAGTAAGTTCTTTTGCTCATTTTTATTCTTTATTACTTTAATGTTTAAGAAATGTTTGATTGATTGATTAAGCATTTCATTTAGTTGATTAAAGGCATTGAATTATAAAAACAATCCAATAAAAACTCTTTTTTTTAAAAAAAAAACATAATTTGAAACCTCCATGCAATTATGTATCAGTATATGTTCTGATATAATCAGGATAGATCCTGATATACAAGTATATATCAGGAAGTTAAATATTAGATTATGCTATATTTACTGACGTTAGAATAGCTGAAGTTCTTAACTGGGAAGATTTTTGTTTTTAAAGTTTAAATAAATATTTTAAATAGTTATTGTAGATTATTTAATTCATTGCAATAACTCTAAAAACAATTTACGGTGCAACAATTTGTTATTTGTGTACCCTTCCCGTTACCGGTCTTGTAAGCAGAAAATTTTTTTGGTTCCATCAGTGTCCGTTTTAACAGAGGTTTCACTGTATATGTTTGAAATTTTTTTATTGGAATGTGTTAGTTAAACTTAAAATAAATTTAATTTATACTGTAGCCCCTGTTGTATATGCTTTATATATAGATTGGCTGACTCATTAGTTTTCTCCTGTAGTATTGCTTAAACCATGGATGGGCAAACTTTTTTGGTCGAGGGCAAAAAATTGAAGAAAAAAAGTTTGTTGGGCTAAGTAAAAACTTCTAGAATAATAAAACTATATACAAGTTTTAATTTAAATATTTAATGCAATGAATGAAATTGTGATTGCAGTTTAAAAAGTTCCTTATATTGAGGTTTCAAGTGAGTTGTACTTATTTTAGGAAACGAGGCTAAATGTTTGTCTGTTAATCTACTACAGGTTCATAGTTGAAAACACATATTCACATATATCAGATGAAGCAAACATAGCACTGATTTTCTGGGCGTGAAATATTAAATTTGAGAAACTAGCTTTTTGTAATAATTTGTAAAACTCAAACTTTGGCATATTTAGAAACAACTGCTTCAGATGGCGCCTATCTACAGCTATTCTATAACGGACTTCTTTCAACATTTTACCAATTAAGCTGTCTGTGCTAGCTATTTCCATCAATTTATGTTTTGTGGAACAAAAATAGAGAAAGTGAAAGGGTCATTAGTATTTTGTTAAAAAAGAAAGAAATATAGCTTTAAGCAAAGTAGTCAAGAAAATGTATGTACAGGGTCTTTATAATTAAAGTTCCACTTTGAAATGGCTATAAAAATAAAACTACCCGACCAAATGTCATCAAACTTGGTAAATGTCTATAAGAGGTCATGGGATTTTAGTTCCCACAACAAAACAAAAAAAAGTTCAAAAATTCACCACCAGTGGAGAATGGCGCTGTATGCAATAGTGTTAAAGAAATGTGAAGTATGTAAATTTGTTTTACACGGCTTTTACCGTAAATTTGCCGTAAACCTTGCGGTGTCATTGGACCTCGGCGTTTTCCTCTTACAGTACGGAACTTTTGTAAAGCCCTCCGTTCATTGCTGTCGCATTCATAGTAACATTTCACGAGCAAAGCACGGTCTTGCATGGTAACAGACATTATCGACTCAGAACACTGACAGCTCAGACAAGGCGCCTCACTTTTATAACTGCAAAGTCACATGACGTGTAAAACAAATTTGCATATTTCACATTTGTTTAACACTATTGCATACAGCGCCATTCTCCGCTGGTGGTGATTTTTTTTTGCGGGAACTAAAATCCCATGACCTTTTATAGACATTTACCAAGTTTGATGACATTTGGTCGGGTAGTTTTATTTTTATAGCCATTTCAAAATGGAACTTTAATTATAAAGAGCCTGTATATTGTTTATATTCGCCGCAGATCGACAAGTAAAAGTTCCATCCGCGTGGCGGATTAAACCTTCCAGCGGCCACAGTTTGCCCATCTCTGGCTTAAACCAAAACCAACTATTTATTTTTATTTCATTTCATTGCATTATATGATCTGTTTCACTAAAAAGTTTTCCCTTGATGAGAATGAAATATTTAAAAATGTTTAAAAATATTTAATAATGTTTAAAAATATTTAATAATGTTTAAAAATATTTAAAAATGTTATAAAACCATAAAATTCAATTGATGACATTTGGGGAGTCTCCATTAATTTTATAGTCATGTTTCAGACATATAGCCTTACATGCAGGATTCCATTTTGGGGCTTGGTCATTTTATGAAAAAGACACTTTGCTTATAATTTTATATTATCAAATTTTTGTGGTGATTAATTTGGAAGCTTATGTGCTAATTTATTATTTTAAGCAAATACAGTGACAAATCTGATAAAATGAATCTTATTAGTTTGATAGTTATGTACTTATCTCATTCTATGATTGATACAGTAAAGCGCCGATTATCCGAATTGCTCGGGACCGAACGTGGTTCAGATAATGAAAAGTTCGGATAATTGGAAAGTTGTTTAAAATCTAGTTTAAACTAACTTCCCTTCACACTTTTTCCAGGTTTAGGACTGGCAGTACCATCGAAAATAACTCTGTTTAAAAAAAAATTCAATTTTTAAATATTTTTATTTAATTTTGAATTTTTTTTAATCATACTTCAGCTATTTATTATTTTTTTTTTGTCAATTGCTGATTTTACCACATTTTTCTTTATTTTCCATTGAAAAAGAAATTCAGCAAAGAATTTTGTTTCAAAGATGCTCTTTTTTGAGCAGCGATATACCTTATTCTTTTTAAATAAATCAACTGAACATCAACATCATTTTGACGTTCTAGCCAATTCATTGCAATATCTAATGAATTGCATGCTTCTATATGAGATGGTTCACTATCTTGAACTTGATCATCTATTTGTTCCTATTCGTCTGTGGAGTTCCGATTTTCTTTCAAAATTTCAGCAAACAATTTCATCATTTAAAATTTGAAATTCTAGGACGTTTTCAGTGTCTCGACACCAGCCTTCCATTTCTTCTGCTGCATAACCTGACATCTCTTCAACCGGAAGATCTACTGGCTCAGAAATTTTGAAAAATTTTTGATAAGTCAAAAATTATTCTAAACTTTAAAAAAAAAGAAAAAAGAATTCAGACATAGTTCGGATAATTGGACATTTGGATAATAAGGGTTCGGATAATCGGCGCTCTACTGTAGTTATTTACTAATCTCATATTATGAATGATTGATTGAACTCAATCAGAAATACAGTAATTATGAAATTTTTGAACAGTGATATGAGGGATCATTCACAAAACTACAAACGAACCTATGAAGCAACATATTTACAATATTTTCATTTCAAGACTATCGAAACTCTACTTTAAAATTATTTTATCAGAGCAGTCTTACACTTGATTACTAATTTTAATTAAATTTTGATATTAAAGATTATTAACCGGTTGTTTTTTTAATGTAAAAGTACTAAAAAAAATTTCTATGTGTTGACCTTGGACTATTATGAGTTGTTCTGTGTTCCATTTATAAAATTATGTTGAAAACTTTATGTTCTGAAATTAAAAATAGTATAGTTTATAAAATTTGCATTTATTGCACTTAAGTAAAAAAAAAAAGAATATTCGTTTTTTAAAAGCTTTTTGTTTGCCCTTTTTAAATAAAATCTCATACGTATACTGCTCCAAATATTTTCCTGATTCTTTTTTTCTTTTTGTTAATTGTTCTGTTAGTTTTTCTTTGTTTTGGTTCACTACAAGACTTGTTTACCTCGTAATAATGTTTGTTCGTTTTCATCTCTTTCTGTAGGTTTTTAAAGAATGTGGTGTTGGTCTCTCTGTATCTCCATCAACATGTCAATACATGAAAGAGTGGTTGGATTTTTGAACCTAACCAAATTAGTCTCTTAAATTTGGTGATATTTAGTCAATGAATTGAAAACATGTGATATGGTATTTATTAAAATCAACACGTTGTATGTACATATTATAATTTATAAAGAATCCGGTTATGTTTTTGTATTTTTGTGTTCTGGTTTATTTACATTTAACATACATTATTTTATCTTGCTTGTAAAAAATAGAACTTTATATTTGGTATTTCACACCCTTCTTAGTGAGATTGATTTTTGAAAACCTTTATTGTGGTTCTTTTTAAATGAATTGAATAATTTTGTAGCACTATCTGCTTTTTTTTATTTATTGTGAGTGAAAATTTGTAAGTTTTTTGTTATACACTTATGCCAAGATGGGTTATTGAAAGAAGATAGCTCATGTTCTGATCTGTGTTTTTAAATGAATTAAAAATAGATTCTGTTAAAGTAGTTATTTTCACTTATACTAAAAATGAGTAAATATGATATGCATGAATGAATGAATGAATGAAAATAAGGGAATCGGATTCATCAATCAAACAATCTACTGTACATATAAAAAAATATTTATATTATTATTGCAAGAATACATTATTTTAGTATTTTCATGTTCTTTAAAAAATAGATTAATGGTGTGAATCTACTGCAAAGCGAGAATGTTTCTTACTATATATTGGATTAAATTGATTTTTGCAAAGTCTTTTGAGTTTTAACAATCGTTGTTTTACTGTGATGTAAAACTTTTCTTTGTACTGATTCATAATTAATCAATAGTTTGGTAATAGGATAGTCGCAATTGCAGTATGATTTTCAAATATAGTAGAGTGCCGATGTACTGGTATGTCCAATTAAAGGACCTTTTGTTTTACTCACCTTCTTCAAAAAAAAAAGAAAAGAAAAAGAGAGAAAAGGAAAAAAAAATAGTAAATCGTGAAAGTGCTTCTTTATTTTCAGAATATTTAAAAGAGGTCAAAAAATGTCTTCCTTTATCCTTTGGTGTCCTTGAAAAAAATATCTGGCAAGCTTCAATGTGGGTTACATGTAGTTTCTAAAAAGGGAGGGATTTTGTTCAGAATAAAAATTTAAAAAAAATAAACTTTTAAACACTCTGTTTGTAATATGCTTTAACAGGCACAACTATGATTGCTAATCTTAAGCCTAGAAAAACTGTGTACTTAAAAACATTCACGTAGCCTCTTTTTAATGTTTACTGATTATCCGGATTTTCAGTTATCCAGATCAGTTTTGGTCCAGATAATTGTCACTCTACTCTACATTATGTCAAATATTGGCTGTAATCTTCATCCTACATTAATTATTTCGTATTAATTTAATTAGTTAAATTTAGTATTAATTTAAATAATCTGTAAAGCTACATGATATTTTAATTATATATTGAAAAGAGTTGAATAAATTTATTTTATTTATAATAAAAACACACTATTTCATAAAATTTAAATGTTTATTAAAATGTTTATACAAGTGAGAAGGTATACAATAAAGTGGTCCCCTCACCACAATTTTGAACATATAGATATTTTTTTGCAACAACATGTATAATAAAAAGCAGCATAAGAATTGCACTTTAAGCACAATTTTTATCACATAAATATGGAATGGTACTTTTAATACACAAAAAAAAAAAGATTTATTTCTTCCCCCATTTCTGAAATACATGAAAAATAACATTCAATATAATAATTTCCGTATTATTTCTTTCATTGAGCATGAGGTTACAATTGAATTAAACTTAATAGGAAATGTTATGGTTATTTTTTTTTAAATTTAGTATTTAAAAATTCCTTCATGAATTACATAAATTCTAGTTATTTTATATTAGAATTTTTATCATTAATTTACATATTTTTGAATGAAAAGTCATTTACTACCAGCATAAAAAGGCATTTAAATTATAGATTTGAAAAATAATCTAATAACTGTACAGTCAACTTAAATAACTTTTTTTTTTTGTCTTTTCTTCCAATGCTTCAAAAAAAAAGAGAAAAAAAGGCGCGAATAAAATTTGCATAAATGTACTTTTATTTTTCAGTGCAAACTAAAATTTTTTTTGTAACTTTAAAATTTTAAACATTTATCAAGGTAAATTCTAAATAAGTATGGTATTAAAGGGTTTTAAATACTGAAAAGAATTTTTCGAAACATTGAAATGTCAACAAATTTTGAGAGGATAACTTACGATTACTCTGTGGTGAAGTTCTCTTTTAATTATTTGTTTGCATTTTGATAATTTAACATTTTTCAGAAATTCAAATTTCATGACTTACTTTAGGTTTGCCTGAACTCACTTTTTCTATACATTAAGTTTTAAATTAGTGATGGAGGTGAAAAAGAATTTGTGAGAAAAAGTTAATCCTGTGTAATAGCATAATCTTAAAACCACCACACTCTAGGAGTTCTGTAAAATTTTTCAAGACATTCAAGTGTTAGACAAAATTTTCCTTGCTGTATCTATTGTACTTGTAGAATAACACAAGTGATACTATTTATGTTTGTTACAAGAACAAAAAGCTACTAGCTTAAAATTTAGAAGAACACAATGCATTAATGCACTTTAAACATCTCAGATCACAAAATGCAGTTACTGCATTTTAAACATCTTACGTTAATTTATAATTTATAGACAAACAACTTTTTGCTTTTTTAAAGTTATATATATTTTTTCCAGCCAGCTTAAATAGTATTATATATATATATATATGCACTCGAACCTCAATTTCACGAATTTTTTAATATCTCGAAGAAGAAAAAATTCCCTTCAAATTTCCTATACAAACGTGTATGTTAAAAAAACCTTGATGTCTCGAATTTTTTTTCTAATCCCTCGATAACTTGAATTTTTTTCCATAAATAGTGTAGATTTTTTTCTGAAAATAATAAAATATTCCAAAAAAATTTTTAAGAATAGAAAACTAATTCTCATAATCATAACCAATTCTCAAACAAGCACTGCAGTAGACACTGTAAGGAGATTTATTGAGAGACAGCCGAATATATCGGAGGAGACATTTAAAGCTATAGTCCACTTAGAAAGTTTTATAGACAAACTTTCTTACACATCTCTAAAGCAAACAATTGAATCTTGTAAAGTTCTCTTGAATTGAATCTTGTTCTAAGTGTAAAAATTGTTTTTAGGATGAATATGGAATAGTAAATAAGGTATGTAAAGAGCATTTTTCTTTATTCTAACATCGATAACATGCGATTTTCGATCATTCGAATTTTCGATATCTCGAATTTTTTCTCCTCTCCCTTCAAGTTCGAGATATCGAGGTTTAACTGTGTGTGTGTGTATATATTTATATATATTACAAGAAATGTTAGTGCATTTATTCTAATAGGAGAATAATCAAGAGATTGTTTTATGAAAAATATTACTGTTTTTTTTTATTTCATTGCATAATTAATTTATTATGAGAAACTCAGTCTTTCAGCTCTCCTTTTCCAGTGCTAATTATGAAATAAATTTTGGTTACTTTAATTAAAATAATTTGAAAATAATTAAAGGTTTTTTTTTTAAAAAATTGTGAAAATCATTATATGATTAAATAGTATATCATTGTATAGTTAAGACATATTAAAATAAATTAAATTTTCAAGCAAAGCATAACATGAAAAGATTTAGTGCACTTTTACACCTTTGATTCTCCTAGCCAGATTTCAGATGATTTCATGGCTTATTTACCTATTGTAACTCTGTTTTTCAAAAAATATGTAAATTTGTCACTGCTTTTTCAGGCTAGCAATGTTAGGAGGCTACTTCAGTTGGTTCCTATCACTTTGGTATATTAGGACCCTAATTATAATTGACCTAAATATTTCATAAAAAAGTATGTTTGATTTTTTATACCTTCTAAAACTGTTTTAAACTATGTTAATAATCAAAATTGACGTAGTTTGCACGAGTGATTACAATTTTATCTTAATAAATTTGAGGAAGGACAATTAAAATTCAATATTAGCATCAGCAATGCTTACATATATTCAACCTACATATTATATGGAGTTTTATCACAGTTATAATTTTTCTAAAGTTACTATATATGCTCGTATAATAAACTCTAATTTTTCTGTAACTAACTATGGTGAATATAATTTAGTCATAGTTAAGCTAGTTCTTTAAACTGTAACCAGCAAAACTGGATGTGTTTCCATACGTTATACAAGCCATGGTAAAGTTTAATAATTTATGAGACATCTACTTACACTTCATTTAAACTTGTACTAATAAAAACTGTTAAACATATAATCTTTTTATAAAAAAATATCAATTATTTCAGTTTAAATTTGAGTATATACAGTCATTCTTTGTTATAGCTTTATTAAAAAATATTTTTTTTGTTAGAAAAAATGATATAAAAACTATAAGGCATATCACCTAATTGTACAAAACATTTTTTTTTAATAATTTTGTTTATTAGTGACAATTTTCAAATTGCTTCCCTGTTTTCGAATCTTCGTCCATTCGTGCTTTAATTTTATTGCAATAATTAACAACTTCTCTTCGATTGTTCGAAGTTCATAAAGTAGTACAGTAGAGAACCGATTATCCGGGACTATCGCTATTCCGGATAACTGATTTTTCCGGTTTTCTGAATCGCTACAAAAAGCCGTTTTTTTATTGTTAAACCCAACTAAAAAAAAAAAATGTTTGGAAATAATCTTAAAAATAAGAAAAAACGATGAGGTAATACACTAATAATTATTCCTGAAATGATGGTAAGGTAAACATCTTTCAAAAAAGAAAGAAAGATCCTAAAATCTTATGAGGAAATTTTTCTTTTTTTTTTTTTAAATTGCAGGAAAATTTATCGAATTTCGTTCCGCTTTTTTGGTTTTCCGGTTTTCTGATTTCCGGATAACGGGTTCTGTACTGTAGGAGAATTTACAATAGTCACTTTTCAAGTCATTACTAAACAAAATAAAAATTTTCGAAACACTAGCACAACTAAATTCAGACTTTCAGTAAGCTATTACTGTAGTGATGCAAGTTACTCTACATTCTCGCAGAACTGTCGAATTGATAATTGCAAGCAAATGAGATGATTATGATTAAAGCATCTGTAACACATAAATTATGCTTAGTTTCCAGCTGTAAGTGCATTAAGCAAGTACATAATTACATTTCAGCAATGATCACTTTATAATATTTATTCTCGTATATAACTATAAGTCTTGGAACACAATAGTCTCTCAATGAAATGATTGTGATGGTTTATTGGAATGAACATTAATTAAATATTTACAACAATGAGTCAAAAGGTGCTTATCTCCATTGTCAAGGTCACTATTCATTTCTCTCGTATAAATGTCCATACCGTATTGTCCGTCATCATTGAAATTCAAATAGAACGTGACCAAATCATCTTCCACGGACTGTGTAACGTTCTTGGACAACCGTTTTTCCTCAACGCCATTTTTGTGAAGAGTAGCCATGAAGTCTGTCAAAGGCCTGGACATCCTGAACTGAATTTCGAGCTCTTTCGGTGCAAATATCAGGGCATCTTCATGAGTAATGGGTACCAAACCAAAGAGTCTGGTAGCCTTCATGGGTCCCCACTCACCGCTTGCGCAATCCGGAAGTGGTACCATAACAGTTTGAAGATCATCGCACACTATCTTAAACTTGCAGACACTTTTGAATTTCATTGGTTCTCCAGTGAGGTATTCTCTTGGAGTGACAGCATTTGCAAAGATGTCAAGCAAGAGGGCTCCACTACAGGGTGCATGGACTCTGAATGCCACTATGTTTCCCACTACAGATTGCATTACAAACCTCTTGAGGCTCACTGCCTCGTATGTATCCACGTCGGTGTCATAAAATTTGAGGTTGTAGTGGAATATTAAGCTAGAGGACATTCTGGATGGCATTGAGATTCGTACAGTTGCTGCTCCAGTACTGTCTGTATTTAAAACTGCTCTTGTCTCTTCATCTGGGAAGTATAAGCCGTATCTGGAAATTGAAATAGACGTTTTATTTTAATGGTGGTATTTTAAGTGTATAATAAATATATATTTTTTAACGTAGCAAATAATAAAAATGTGCTTCAAATATTCTTTTTTATTAATTTTTTTAGAAAATTTTACTATTTTGCAAGTTATTTATTCATTAGTATTTATCAAAAATAATCATATTTCAAGTTAGAAAAAGTTACCAAGTTTTTTTTTATTTTTAAAATAAATATTAAAATTGTAGTTTTCATCTAATAGAAAAAAAAAAATTCTTAAAACAATCACGAAACTTCCCTGCCTTCCAAACATAGCTTATACAAATTCAAATATACATATATTGACAGACATATTTTTTTTTCTCCTGAAAAATTTAAATAATAGGTTAGAGAGTTGTTTTTGACTCTCCTGCATAATTCTGATGACATGTTTTGCCTATCGTGCATAAATCGAATATCTGTATGAAAAACGTTTTTTCTCTCTCGATTAAATTTAAAATGTCTACATGTTTTAGTATCTTTTAAGTTTAAAATGTTTGTATAAGAAATGTTTTAGTATTGAAGTTTAAAATTTTTGCGTGAGAGATGTATTTCTCTCTTTCGCAAATTTAAAATGATAACATGAGAGATGTTTTTTCTCCAAAATATTTCGAATACCTGTAAAACGGATTTTTTGCTAAATTTCTGAAAATGTATTGAATTATTTAAAAAATGGAACGACTCATTGATAAATAACTCAATCTGTTGATGCAGACCAAGGAGATCTGTGACAATTTGCTCTATTCTATGCACATTACCCTAATCCAAAACCTTGGAAAACACACCTTTATATAAAAACCTTAAATCGAGGTTGACTTAGGATTTTCAAATATGAAAAAATCCTTTAATAAAAGCTAGTTGCTAGAAAATAATCTTAGATCTAGGTAATTATAAGGTTTATTTTTGCTAAGTCTTGTAGGCTCAGCTAAAATCCACCTAGTCATAAAATTTTAAAGGACAAAGCAATTTGATCCTATCGCTAGTGTGACGTTAGCTATAACGTCATACCATTTTACCTAAAGGTCTGGTTTCTTAGGACAAGCGCCTTATCTGGGCGTTAGCGGAAAGTTGACGTAGAGCTGACGCCAAAAAAATTCTTTTTTGTTAGCTCAGCGTGAGCAGTCGGTCCAACGCAGACATTATCTCTCATTGCGCATGCGTTAATAACGTAAACAAATATTTATTTTGAATTTGTATTGATTTTGTTATTGTCGACCAGTGTTTTAGAGAACAAATAATGACTTTGTCCAAGAAAAAACACATTATAGCTGAGCTAAATGAAGAGTGCTATGTTTAATGAAGAAGCTATGTTTAATGTCAAAATCAAAATCTTGGCTGATTTCAATGTGCTGTTGGATGTTGTCCGCCATTGCTTCTGTGGTTAACGTCACGTTGTAATCCAACTGCAGTTGAGTTGGACGGCAATTGTAGTTCCAGATGAGCGTTCGATGATGTTTACTATTAAACTCACAAATAGACCAATCAGAGGTTAGCGCTGATTTCCAGCTGACGGCGTCCTGTCCGAAGAAACCAGGCCTTAAGTGACAATACTTTTTAAAAAAACTTTAAGATATAATTTTTAATCCTTTTGGGATGAAAGGTTTAAAACTGCAATATTTTTGCTTCATTGAAAAAAGGTTTTTAGTACAAACATTTTCGTGACAATTGAAAGAAAATTTCGACGCAAGGTTGCCGTAAGGTTTACATGCTTTATGGGCATAGATTGATTACTGCCTCTCTTTTTTAAAAACTATAAGTAGAATTAAACAAATTTATCAACTGACCTGAAAAACAAAGACCGGACAAATGGTAATTCTTCAAATTCAGCCAGCGTAATAGGCACTTTGAGTAATTGCCATTCTTGTTGGAGGGGGAAAAATTCATAGATGAATTCTTTAGGATCCGTTAGGAAGTAATGGTCATCATACTCGTATCGAAGACTGTCCGATTTTCCTCTGCTGCCAGGTTTTGGAACCTCTTTTGCATTGACTAAATGCCTGGCACCCCAGTTGCATTGGACGAATCTCCATGCACCTGCCACATAAACAGCATTCCAGGAGTTCCGGAAACGATTATCCTCGAATTTAACACCAGGTTGATATCCAGCACTTTTTGAATATCCTTTAATGACAACGCAATGGAGACCAGCATAACTGTGGAGGTAAAAAGTACATTAGTTTGATGTTGTCAGGGCTGAATTTTTAACGTCAAAAACTGGTTTAAATCGTCATAAACTTAGGAAATGAGAAATTGTAGAATATGTATGCAATTTCATACCAAAGTCAAAATAATACCCTCTATACCAATTTCGAAATTTTTGTAGTTTTAAAAAATATTTTTCCTGTTATACCTAAGATATAGTATCAACGTTGTAATACATTAGATTTAAAAGAATTTTGGTCACCAGTGCATATAAATTATTTATACTGATGTATGAAGTGCTAGATACAAATGTTAACACTCTAAAGTTCTGATAAGCGTTTTAAATATGCTACTTCTGCTTATGAAGTATAATTAGGCCCTGAATACAGTATTCCATTGTTACGTAGGAAATATATTATTTCAGATGCAGTATCCGATAGTTATAGCAATATTTTACTACAGATAAAGTATCCCCTCGTTATAGACAATATTATCTGACAGATAATAATTGCATCGTTACCTGAATATTTTGCCCCTAAATCTGCCCCAAATAGTTCATATTTTGTTTATTCTATTCTCAACGTTAATCTATTGAATTTATGTTGCTCTACAACTTTCTCATATATCGTACCGTTTTACTAAGTTAGTGGTACAAATTCAGGAGTTATACCGCTAGGTAACGTCATGGAGTTACTTATAGCCATTTTTCTACTACTTTCTTTCCATGATTATCGCTGTTCGAAGGGGAAAGAGAATCGGAGATATTAGTTCGCATTCTGTAAGATGATAAATAGGGACTCTAAACTATTATCGCATAATAACAATCGAAGATAAATTTTAATATTGTCCTTAAAAAAATACTTAAGCATCTCGACTGACTGCTTTCTAACACTTTATTGCTTAATTTTTAAATTTTGTTAGTTTATAGCAATCTACAAGATTGTGGGCGGTTTGCAACATCTAATTACATGTAGAGTTTAGAGATGAAAGTTCAATAAAACTTAAAGCTTTTCCTGTATCAAATGATTAAGCGTAAGAAAATTCTTAAATTCGTGTTTTACATATTAAATTTATCTTTTACATAAAGTATTGCGAACTACACCTGTGAAACTATTTACTAAATAAAACATGTTTTTATGAATATCGTATTTCAAAATTGAAAATTAGAAAGTGATTCCAAGAATGTGTAATTTATCGCATTTTTAAAAATCTTTTTCTACCTAATTTTGTTTTTATCTCTCTTTATTTATTTATTTTTTTAAACTACTGGTTGCAAATTATTTTGCAGTTACATAGTTAAAGCTTGAATGTGGCTTATAACATAAAAGCTATTTATAACTTACTTCTTAAAAATAATTCATTTAAGAAATGCGCCATCTATCTCCGTTTCTAAATCGTCTGCTCTCCAAATTTCGTTCTTTTTTCAGTTAAAATAATTATATTTATGTTCTAACTAAAAATAAATCTGATTAAGTGAAATATAGTATAGGTTGGAAATTATTTTACATAAAAATAATTTCTAACCCTTACGATAACCAAGATAGAAAATATTTTATTTGAGGTTAAATGCTGTTTTATCAATGTAAAAGCTGTATATGTTTATCAATATAATCAACTTTATCAATAAAAGCTGTTTTTAATATATTTTTTTAAAAGAAATGAAACATAAAGTTTTGAATTTTTTAAAATTAGAACAACAGCTTTAAATAAAAAATACTTCAAAATAAGAATTTCCGACCTAAATTTTGTGTCTCATAAAATCACAAAATGCTTTTTACCTGCACAATCTCTTGAACAAGACGTGATAGCTCTCTGTTCCATGCTTGATTCCACGAAGAATACCCATGGGTGTGTCAGCATTCACGTTGTCGTCGAACGTCATGGTGTTTAGGTTCTTCACTGTTATCCAACGAAAGATTGCTCTGCATAAATATTTTAATTTAATAAGTGCAAAAAATCTACAGTGATAATAAGAGAGTCTGTTACCGCATCTACAGAATCTGAACTTAGTAAATAAAATAAGCAGATCAAGGTTACGCGATTTTCCTACCCTCCACATTTTTCCTCTCTCCGTTACCATGGTGATGACAAATCTGGCTCCCCCCTTAGAAGCACGGTTGAGTAAGAAATCGGATTTGTTGAAACCACGATAACAGAGAGAGGAAATGTCTTACCTTGAGACTCCTATTCTATTTATAAAGTGTATAGATCGAAACTTAATTAAACATTTTTACGAGATTTTTCAAATTTCATTTTAAGGATGATGTTACTTAAGAATGTATTTATACATACACATATTTATGAAATATTTGGAAAATATAATAAGTCACATTTTCAAATTGCACTGGGAAGATTTATGAATAATTGGATGGGATACTTTTTGGAATAATTTAAAAAAACTAACAATTTTTATGTAAGCAACCATTTGTTTCTGCTTATTGTGCTGCTATTTATAGTGAATCTTAAAATTTTTTTAAGTATCTATTTGGAAACAAAACATAAAAATTTCCGATTTGGAAAAAAGTGTAGTTAGTTGCTAGATTGCCCCATATATGTCAAATGAAGTTTATCAGAATTTTTTTTAAAATTCTAATACACGTTTCCAAGAGGTTTCTGCCTTGTGTGAAATCTTTTAAGGTGACAAAGGGCTTTCAAATTTTTTTTTTGAAATTATGAAGGGATTTGCTTGAAATTTTCAGGATACATTTATATTGCTAAAAACAACTTTTATACAAAATTTCAATAAAATATTTCAAAATTTAAGAAATTAAAAAATTTAAATTTTTCAATTTTTTATGTTTTTTTATATTACTCCTCGCGTCTGAAATTTTGTCAAAATGACAAAATTCTTTTAAAATATTACATATTAGGTAATATTGAAAAAATTGTTGGAAGTACTTTTTTTATTTTTTATTATAGAAACAAATAACAATAAAAAAACAGTAAAAAACCTGCATTTTTAGGAAAAAATAATGATACCTCTATAAAATATCACGTATAAAAAAAATACTATTCACTTAATTCAAAAAACTTTTCCAACAAAATGTTAAAAATATTCATAAATATATAGCATTAAATTCTCAGGTCAATAAAATGAAAATTCATTACGCTGGAACAGTTTGAAAATTGTAAATTTCTCAAAAAAGACATTTTGAGAAAAATGACTTTTAGTACTTTTTCATTGCAAATTTTACATCTGAACAAATATTTCTTGTTTNATCTCACTATCAATTTCACTGTTTTCTTTGCTGGTTTGTTGTTGTATTGCTGACGTGAAGTGTTTACATAGTTATCGGTCGAACTAATCATAATGGTATTATCGATATCAACTGCAATATTGGCAGTATGTCGGTATTGCAGATAAAATTCAATAAACAAATTCGTAAATTAAAATCCATATTAATAAAAATGTTAAAAAGAAATATGCAAGAAAATTTTAGCATATATTTTGAAAAAAGGGGAGGAGTGGGGGAAGGAGGGGAGGGTCCAAACACGGCTATGCCTAGGGCCTACGAAAGGTATAATCCGGCTCTGGGTCAAGTATATATATAATTTCTTTTGATATAAGATTTCAAGCTTCATTTCACTGCCATTGGAAATATTTATTTGCACGAACTTAAAATGTTAGAGAAATATATTTAGTTTAATATAATTTCTTTAATAGAAATTTAGTTTAATTTTGTTGCAAGACGGAAGGTTAAACTTTCGAAAATGAGATAACGATAATTGGTCTAGAACAGTGCTATTTTGGCAAACTTCTTTTGGCGAAACTTGACTTTTAAAAAAAGTTCGTTAACAGATGTGAATGTACTAAACAGAAAAAAAGTACAAATAAAATTGGAAACATTAAAAGAGAAGAATGAAAATTTTACATTGTATTATCAATAAATCTTAAGATTTATATTTGGCAGTTAAATTCTCAAGTCTGCATCGGCTTTTAGTCTAGTAGTTTATTGGCGTATGCATAAATCAATACGAGGAAAAATAATTCTTTATTCTTGAATTTGATTATTTTATTTTGAATTTTAAAGTTCGATGAAAAATAATGATGCAATCATTTATTTGTGAAGGAATATCTTTTTAGTAATTTATTCAATATATTGTTATTGGGAAGAAAATATTTTTATAAATTTGCTATTTCTTTTTTATTGACATATTTTATTTAAACTTCTAATTAATTTAAATAATTTTACAAAAATAATCTAACTAGTAAATAAATAATTGTTTATTGGTTCGATGCAAATTTATTATAGTTTCAAAAATTAATTCTGGTTTAAAGAAAAAAAAAAGCCTTAACTCATGGAACCCCTTTGATCTAAGGAACCCTGGGATTACACGGAATACTTTTCGGGAATCACTGGTCTAGATAGTCCATTTTGCAACGATGCACTTTTTTTAGGGGTTTAATATTTTTTTCAATAAATCCAAGATAAATTCAGAAAAGGCATCTAACTTGAATTTTGAAATGAATAGAAGGCGTATAAAAACATTTCTTGAATATTGTGAAGATGTCAGTCAAGATTTTAATAAAATTTAAGCAAAGCTAAGGTAAAACAAATATTTAATGGAACAAATTGTAATTTTAAAGGCTAGGCCTTGGTTGTTTTGCATCGAAAGTTTGACCGTAATTTGCAATGAATATCACACATATTTAGCAGTTTCGCAATTTGTGCGCCACATTGCAAATGTTTTCAAGCTTTTTTTTCCAAAAGGTAATTCAAATTCAGACACTGAAGTTCTTTCTTAGAAACGATACAATGCAATGTTTTGAATTATTATAAAATCAATGATCATTTCAACGTTGCAAAAACGAATAACTTACCTCGCTTTTTCAACGTCTGTGATGCAACTTCCAATAAGCTGTCTCACTAAATCAGTAAACGTCTGTTGATCACTTTGAGCTACCTATAAAAATTGTATAAAATATATTAGAATACATTTAAATGCAAGTGTTTATAAATATATTCTAAGAATAAAACTATAGTTTCATTAATCTTATAATGAACGATAATTCTACTTCAATGAATTGATCCAACGCCTCCTACAACTAAAAGCCTCCACACGATTTCTTATAGGTGGTCCGATCAGACCTCTATGAAGGCAAAGTAGTTTACAAAACAGCCATTTAATACATAGTCTAGTAAAAATAAGAAAATGGTAGCAAATATATGCCTAAAAATTTGTTCAATTTATGAACAAAAATAAATTCTGAGTGGTTTGTCTTATTCACTTGTCAACCGCAACAGATTTGGTCAAAAGAAAAATAGTTTTTTTTCCTTTGACCATTGTTATTTTTTGTAATATCTGTTCCAAATAATAATGATCGGTTATTTAAAATACTTTACGAACTTATAATAATATTAATAATACAATATCTTACATTGATGGCTATTTGGTCGAGCTCCAGAAAAACACTGGGATCGCTGTATATTTCATGTTTGGAAATGAGGGGTGGACCTGGTGGTGGAGGGTGTGTCGGGTAGGGGGTCAGGTCTTCACTCATGTATCCTTCTCTATCGTTAAGATTTTGACTCTAAAGAATAAAGAACTTTTTAGTGAAGAAATACATATATAAACACAAATAATAAAGTAAAATAAAATAGAAAATTTTTTAATGGGAAAACGTAAAAGTCTTCCTCAGGACACATCCTTTACAATAAATGCGATATTTCTGAATAAGGAATAATTATCCTAAGATAAATATATTACTCTTTATAATGTGTCTATATCGCTAAAAAATAAAATGCAGNGTACAGTCCATTGTAAGAGTTATTGAAATATATATATATATATAAAGTGCGTTACACTATTCACATTGTTAATAAGATTTTCAATATAGAGAGTGAAAAAAGAAGGAGAAGAATTTAGGAGAAACAGAAGGAAAAAAAAAGAGTCAATCATCGTATTAGGGAATCAACAAATTTAAGAAACATTAAATGAGCGAATTAGTTTGTAAATATAAATTGTCTGTAAGTTTGCAATTTACAGCGGAAAGACAATGATAGAAAGAGGCCTAAATTTTAACTTTAACCCTTTGTATAGTATTCTCACTTTTAACTTCCTCGTTACTTTGCGTTTTTCGCTTTCTAACTCTTTTCTTCAGTTTTGATACATTTTATGTTAAATGTTCATGAAATAATCAATGATTTAGAACTGTAGTGATTTTACATCCTACGATTTAGAATTACGTACATAGGAAAATTTTATGATAATAATTGGTGTAAAATTAAGACGTTGTGCAAAATATTTTACCAATTCTGAATGCTTTATACAAAAGAAATTCAAAAAATGCAGCTTCTAGTGAATCGAAATAAATGCAAGTAGTGAATATTGATTTATATTTGAAAATTTTTTAGCAAATTTTTACATTTTAAGTATGTTCTGATTAAGCACTATTTTTAATTTTAAAAAGTCGCCAAATTTATCGATAAAAAGTGCAATTTGCAAAACCACTAAAGTAATGTAAACAGACTGTAGTAGTATGGTAACACTTAAAGGTTAGCTTTGCCACGAGTATAATCGAGTTATGTCTGGATTACAGCTCTGGATGCTTAGATCTTTAAGTATTCAGGACTTTAGTCTGAACGAGAAAGTACTGAGAACAACAAATATTTGATCAATGGTTAATAAGGACATATCTCAAAATTTCCTAGATTTGAGATTAAAGTACCACGATATTCCAAGGCTTCAATCAAAGCATTGACTGGCTAAGAAAGCTGACGGATTATTTTTTTGAAGCGAAAACTGAAGGTAGTATTCAAACAAATTGTTTAATTTTAAATTTTTTTTTTATGTTAAAAGGTATATTTTTTTACGTCAAAAGAGAATGACTGGAAAAATAAACCCTCAAATATTTCGAACTTAAAAGTGGATGAGATAAGACTTATAGATATTCTTCCAATAATCATTGCTTGCTACTGACCAGTTATAAGTTGCCGATATGATATGAATCTACATAGATTGTTGGTCGTCAATTGTCGATTAAGTGACGAATCTACAAGCAACAGATATAATCTACAAGCGCCTATATAATTAACGAATAATATATATCCCTTAGTTGACTAGCCAGCAGAATAAAGTGCCAGCTGACAGCATTAATATCTGATACCTGTAAGCCAGCCATTAACTTTAGTATACATGATGGCACCCGTATGTCAGACGAGCATTTTATCTGATGGTATCCGGTTATTTTTTTGTTACTGGGTTGATAGGTTTGTTTTTTTCTGGAATATTTTCAACTATGTTGCTGGAACAATATTTCCAATGTTTTGTGCATGTATCCACTTTTTAAAGTCCTTAAAAATTTGGTGAAAAATAATTTTGGAACCTATTTTCACGTTCTAAATAGAAGAGAACCATCTGATGAAAATATCGTATTTTTTCGCCATCTTATATTTAGACCATGACTTGACTTTTTTTCCATATTTATATTAGGTCATGCTAACCAAGAAACATACCGTATGATTTTAAAATACATAGTTATGAGTGGTTACTTGCTTTTACATTCCAAAACAATTACTATGGGTAAAATAATAAGAAAATAGTTAAATAGAGTAAATTTTTAAAAAGTAGATTGTTGCTTAAGATAAGAAAAAGGAATTTTACTCGAACGAATTCCGTCCTCTTTTCATTGATGAGATGCAACATTTCTTTGGAATGTTTTTCTACTAAATCAGCCGTGGCGGCCCTTTCTTGTTCTAAAAGTTTTCGAGTTAGGGATTCTTTCTTTCTGTCCAGTTTGATGGTCATGTTTTTCTCCAGATCTTCTTTTTCCCTTTGGTGCCTGAAATTATGCAACAAATTAAATAAGAATACGAAGAAAAAAAATGATAAGGTATTATTGAATTAACCATCTTTTAATGTTTATATTTCAATGGACAAGAAAAAATTGGACCATAAATTAATAAGGCAAACGAAAAATACGATAAGGTATTATTGAATTAATCAAAGTTAAGGTGTTAAGGTTAAGGTATTATTGAATTAATCATGAAGTGTTAAAACTAAACTCAATAATAAAGGTACTATTGAATTTAGTGATTATACTTCAATAAATAGGGAAAAAAAATAGAGAATTAAGTAATAAGGCATACAAAAAGCACGATAAGGTATTATTTAATTAATCAGTTTTTAGTGTTTAGATTTAAATGGATGAAAAAAGAATTTTCAATCATAATAGATAAAACAGGCCTATAAATAGATTTTTTCTGTTTAGTACCAGAAATTTTGAAATCGGGTTTAACCATGTAGTGGATAATGTATAAGTGGATGAAGATAAGAGAATAGTTTAACTCCTTGACACAGATGGGATATTGTGTCACTCTTATATATATTTTTTCTGAAGCTCTAATAAAAAGAAAAAGTATATATTTTGATACTTTCTTACTCATAAAAAATAGTCTAATAGCTACTAAAAAATCTGTTAGATTATCGGAATTATATTTGCACTAAAATATAAAATAAAATAAAAATTGTTTTTTCATATTAAAAAAAGATATCAATAACTTATTTTGTAAATAAAAGAAATTTCAAACAATGAATAAATGCTTCTCTTAGATATAAATTACTGCAGGGGTTTGTTTAGAAGAAATTTGGGTCCGTTAACGGACCCTTTACAAAATATCTTTTCATAAAAACGGACCCTTCACAAAATATTTTAACTTAAAAACGGACCGTTCACAAAATATTTTAACTTAAAAACGGACCCTTCACAAAATGATTTTTCTTTTAATAGGACCCTTCACAAATTTCTTTATCTTCATTATTATTTTGTTAATCGAATAAACCCTTTCCAGGGCAGAAAACAAGAAAGATGGATGTAAACGAATTAAGTTTTGTCTTCGGCAGACGATTCTTCCATTATTCGTCCGAAATTAATATTCTGAGTTCAGCAGTATAGGCTAAATACCAAATATTTGTATGTTGCATCTCTAATTTAGAAGGAGCAATTGTTGTTTATTTTTTAAAATTTAATTTTTTTAATTACAATTTTACAGTGTTGAGCATAATCTTGTATGTCTATACAATTTAAAAACTCCTTGAAAAAAAATTTTTTTTGCAATAACGGACCCTATTTGCTTAAATTCATAAAAGCGGAGCCTGGTTGAAAGAATGTGAGTAATTTTTTCACAATTTCACGAAAAACGGACCTTTCACAAAATGTCTGGACAGACCCCTGTACTGCAAATAAGTGTGAATTTAAAAAAATGATTGATTGGAAATGAGTTGTGTGTGGAAGATTTCAGCTTTAATGCAGAAAAAGACACCAGTAATTCATATTATATTTCAAAACCATAAACTTTTGAAATGCTAAATATAATATTTTTTGCTTATTTTAAACTAATTTAATGCTAAAAAGGTATAAAAATTTGCTTAATAAAAATTCTGCGTCAAGGCGTTAAAATCCCATACGAGCAAGGATTTCGATTTTTATGTTGCCTAACTCTTACTACTAAATACTGACTTGTCTATACAAATCAATCAGTAATCAATGACAATAATAAGTGTAATCCCTTCAAACCAGTTAAATCAAACCCGTTAATTCGAATCGCTGATAAATTTGTGAATCCAATTATTGATTTTATTCGCGATTAAACTAAAGATTAAAGGCGTGTTGATTAAATCAAATTTCTGACTGTTTTTGTGATTTCTGTCATTTATTAAATTCGTGATTAGAATCGTTGGTCAGTATCGGTTTGGAATTCGTGAATCGAATCCCTGATCTGATTTGTTGTTCGAATAAACTGATTAGAATGAGTTAACTTGCATAAAAAGGCATCAGTTAGAGATGTTGAATAAGCTGATTAGTGTGATGAAATTAGGAGAGTAATTCCTTGTGTTTATTATTAAATTTCATTAATAATAACGTTTAAAAATCGTTTGTGGTAAACTTTTTATGATAGCCAATACGCGTTTCGGTATCATATTGGTACACCTTCATGAGCAGGATAGAATAAATAGCAAAGGTGTTAAAATAAAAATGATTTAATATAAATGACAATGTAATGTATATATCATTTATATTAACAGATATACAGTTAAAGGTAAAATATTAAAGTGACGCTAAGTGCTAGAAAATTAAAAAAAAAAAAAAAAAACNTTTTTTTTTTTTTTTTTTTTTTTTTTTTTTTTTTTTTTTTTTTTTTTTTTTTTTTTTTTTTTTTTTTTTTTTTTTTTTTTTTTTTTTTGATAAAACGAATGATGATCAAAACACGAACTACTTTTTATAAAAATTTTTACCATTCGTGATTTTAAACGTTTTTCTTAATGAATCTGATTAGTATGGATGGAATCGAATTACTGTAATGTTCATGTATCGAACTATTTAACAGCTTTGAGTTGAATTGCTTTGGTAATTCTTGATGTTTAACTTTTATTCGCTAGAAACTGGATGCTAGCTCAAAATAAATAAGTAACTGATACAAGAGATCATTAACAATAGAGATTTTGTTTTGTCTAGATTTTTTAATATTGTTCCTATATATAGCCAATATCGGCCTAAATACAGCCTATATCGGTTGAATAATGAATATAAAATATCGGGTGAATCTGACAACTCTATATGTGATAGAGCCGTGGTGGCTTAGGGGATAGAGCGCTTGCCTCCCAATGAAGTGTATCAGGTTCGAATCCCAGCGATGGCTGGTCGATTCGAATTCCGCACCCGACTTGCACTGACCACATTGCTGACATAAAATATCCTCAATGGTAGACGGATCATGGGTTAGAGTCCCCTTGTCGCCAAGCTAACTGAGGAAGGTTATCGCGGTTTTCCTCTCCTTGTAACACAAATGCTGGTTAGTTCCTTTAAAAAGTCCTCCACGAGGCAAATTTCTCCCAATACTTAATCCAGGAGTTTCCTTGTCTTCTGGTTCGGGTTCAAAATTACAAGGGTACGGAGTTGAACATTGGTGTCCGTAAACCGTAACTTGGGTCGGCTGTTCAACGACAGTAAAAAAAATAAAATAGGGGTGATATTAGCTATAAAGTGGATGTAAATCGGACAATTCTATATAGTGCCGATATCGGAAAATATTGGCCTTTGAACTCTTATTGAGCCAAGATTCGTGAATATTGGTCTTATGAGGACCCAAGTTATTGTGCTGCTAGCTCAAAATAAAGATAATTTTTTAAGAAAAAAATATCGATTATTACTTTACATACTTGAATGTGAGGGCTTTTTCCTCGTCTGTTGAGATTCTCCTCTTCTTCATTTTGATTTCATAATTAAAGCGAGATGTCAGTTTCTCCAATTCTTTCTCCCATTCTTCCTGAAATTTCAAAATTCCAAAATTAAAAAAAATGGGATTGCCGAAGAATTACAAGCAAAACTAGTTCTTAACTAATCACAAGTTTGCTCATTAAATGCATCCTACTTACTATTTGCAATTCGCGATTACAAAGCTCGAATATGCCATCTGGGGAAAAGACTGATTCCATGTCTTGACCCTCCCCCTTCCCTCTCCTCCTCTAATCAGTTGTATGTGAATATATTACGATATTTTTCGCATTTAATTGTCAAAAATATTTTTTTTTCATTTACACGACGCTTTCTTTAAAAGCATGCTTAATGCAGTTTTGAATTCCATTTAGTGAATCATGATAATCAAAACAGAAACTAATGTATAGTGCGGCTTTCAGGAGAACTCCTCCAGACACCCGTCTCGCGTCGTGGCGGGTACTATGGTTACGAGGAAGGGTCACTTCGAATAGGGGTGTGGGGTGACTAGTTTTGTCTTCATCTTAGAGTAGGTCGTAGTGAGTATGGCACCCTCCAATGGGCACCTTCATTCCTCCATTTCACCCCATTAGAAATGTGCTCTCGCTTGTTACCATAGCAGCAGACAGCCCCAGAGTCTGGAGGAGTTCTCCTCAAAGCCGCACTATACTTCCTTCTTCTACGACTATCTACACGCTAATGGTGAAAGCATGTGAAGTGTTGCCATAGGTAAGAAGTTCTGCTCTGCACCACCTACTACCGATTTCGATCGTCAACACGAGGGGAAGTCCAAAAATCAGTTTTCTCAAGCAAGACATTAGTTGAACCCGAAAGACATCCACACACCACAAGGTATCGTTCGAACGCAATCGGGTAATTTGTTTTATCGCAGTGACTGCGCAAAGCGGAAATGAATCCCTCAGTTAGCTCCTTGAATTCGGTTGCGGGACTTTTTGGAGGTTTGAACCCTTAATGCTACTCGATACTGCACTCTGTTGATGATGATGTGAAAGATGCTTTTCGGAAAATGTGTCCTAACCTTCTCACATCTGACATTCTATTGCTGTACGGCAATTCCAGATCACACTCGGTTGCAGCAACGCAAAACTATATTGCAATTCTCGGTTGGGAGCAGTTTGACCATCCGTCATACAGTCCTGATCTGTCACCCTGCGACTTCCGTCTTTTTTCGGCTTTGCAGACGAATCTCGGCAGAAAGCCGAGTACCACAAGCCGTACTTCCATATGCAAAACCCTGATTTTTTTTTCAGGTGAGCTTTTTGAAGCTTATAAAATGGTATGACAAATGGCTCACCATCTATATCCACGAGGGGTCGCAAACTCATATTTATATGAGAAAGAACAATATTGTTTCAAAATCATGACCGACTGCTATTGAAGTCAATTAATACAAAAAAAAAAGGATTAAAATAATTTGAAACGAGTAAAGTTATAATTTTAAACCATATGTATCATCCTGCCATAAACAACTACGTAGACTTCAAGACTGACGAATTAATGAAATATTTAAAAGATTCTCAAACTTTTTTTAAAAAATTTCTGATTTGCTGAATTATTTTTTTTGTTAAGTATCTAAGGAGCTAAATTTATTAAAATAAGTTAAGTTATGATATAAATATAAGTAATGAATATGCGTTAAAAAAAAACATTTTACTTACTTTCACTATCATTTTCATCCTCTATGCAGCAATAAATAGTATAAGAAATCACAGTTATAGACCAAGCTTACGATTTAAAAATTCTTTTAAAATGTATTTCATTTCTTTTAAATATTAAATCGAAATGTTTATTTTGAATTCATTAAACAAAGAATCACGGCAAATAAAAGAAGTTTAAATCATATTATTTATTTACATGGAGTATTATTTAATAATAAGATGGTAAAAAAAGGTTATATTAATGAAGAAGACAGGAACTAATTTAGAATAGTTTTACTTTATTTCTATCCCTTTTTTCTGTAAGGAGTAAAAGTTTCATTCAAATTAAAAAATAAAATAAAATTTTTTCCTATCTTCCAAATCCATGAAACTAAAACTAGACAATGCCGAAATAGACATACAGTTTGTCGAAAGTGAGAACCCCCCCAGCCATTCGTCTGAACCCGTGGCGGTGACTATGGCAACGAGTTATAACTATTTCAAGTATGTTTTAAGTGAGCCTGTCCTATTTCAAGTATGTCAAGTAAACCTGTCCTAAACAATGACTCCACGTCTATTGCAGAGGAGTGAAGAGAAGCTACCCTCCCTGAAATGTGTTATTCTTGTTCCCATGGCAGCAGGTAGTCTCAGACTTTGTAGCAGGGGAAGTTCTTGCCATAGACAAATTATACTATAGTTTCAGTACTGCTATCAAGAAAAGGATTTTGAGAAAGGTTCTCAAAAGCTACTAAAACAGATATATTATAGTTTCGGTTTTATAATTAAGAAAGGGATTCCTTAAAATATACCAATAAACACATACTACAGTTTCGATGCTGATCAAGAAAAAAATTCCGAGAAAGTTTATTGATAATAGAACCGAAACTATAGTATGTCTATCTTTATGACTTTATTTGCAAAAATATTTCTCCCCAATTTTTGAAATATTCTGCAAATTTAATCATGTTCTTAATTATTTTGATTTCGGGAAAAACATTTATCACATATCCGTGGCTTACAGAGGTGTTTGGATGCTCGAGGCAAACTTCTCGACACGAGGTTGTGTTAGATGTCCCTGAAGTTGTTAATTGAAGTTAAAGAAGTGTTAAACTGAATTGGGAACACCAATTAAGTTGGAAACATTGAAAACATGTAATGTAAAGGATACGTGTAATTCTAAGATTAAAAATTTATTATTTCCCAGAAAATAATCTTAATTTTTTTCTTACATGAAAAGAATATTTTAATTGCAATGATCTTATACTTCATAATAAATTTTTTTTAAATCTAAAAATCATATATTGTTCTTTAGAAATTATTTTGATGGTGACGGAGGCAAATTTTTATCGGTTACGCTTTTCTTTTGACATTGGATACCTTTTTCTGACATTGGATATCTTATCATCCCTTCTAGAATCTCACATGCTTAAAAGGATATTTTCTTTAAGGGTGGGATTTTATTCTTGCTTTGAGACATTACCCGGTAATAAACACTACGACAACAATGTATGGAGAAAATATGTATATACCTGTATTTGTTCTGTGATATGAACTTCCTCCTCTTGTCTTTTCTTTGCAAATTGACGATAGAGGGCGTCCTCTTCCGCACGGTGCCTCATTTCTAACTTTGTCTGTGTTTCTTTGTCCTATAAAAAAATATTTATATTATTATCTTTTTTCATAAAAGAAATCAAAATTTAGCAGTTGATATTTGATAATTTTTATTTATTTGAGAGAAAAATAATCGGATTTTGGAGAAATATAAGCAGGGCGACCACTGAAGTTTATGTTCACACTCTTACCAAANTGTCTTTTCTTTGCAAATTGACGATAGAGGGCGTCCTCTTCCGCACGGTGCCTCATTTCTAACTTTGTCTGTGTTTCTTTGTCCTATAAAAAAATATTTATATTATTATCTTCTTTCAAAAAAGAAATCAAAATTTAGCAGTTGATATTTGATCATTTTTAATTATTTGAGAGAAAAAATCGGATTTTGGAGAAATATAAGCAGGGCGACCACTGAAGTTTATGTTCACACTCTTACCAAACTTAAGACCGTGGTAGCCCAGTGGTCAGAGAAACGCACTCTGATCCGGAGGTTCGATCCTTACGATATACTATCTCGTAAAATCTGCGGAATCGAAAATCCTGTGGTCCGCTGCGGAGTAGTACCGTGGGTATAGGGATCTGGATAAAATTTCCTTTCCCCTTTAATTTATGTCTAAGTTGAGGAAGTGGCCTCACAGAGAGATCACAAATGAGATCCCCTCATCAGAGAATCAAATTACAATGACATGTCTTCGGATCATAATCAGGAATATTTCTCACACCGTCACCAATAGCCCATTGTGCAGCTTTAGAGCGACGAAAATAAGAGTACATACCTACTTGTCTTTGCTATACCTGGGCACCATTTTTATTACTGCAGTTTGTGCCGTTCGAAAGTTAATAGGGTCGGTAATCGCTGAAGTGGGCTCCGCTTATGTATAATGAAGCTATACTCGATTCTTGCAGAACTAATGTTTGACTTCTGTCTTTTTGGAGTGGAGTAAAACATATGTTAAATTTTGAGCTTTGAAGACATTCTCCATTTGTAGTAAAAAAAGCCCAGATACTTTAGCTATGATCAATTTCTTTATTCTGGTCCATTGTGTTCAATGTAGACTATTACTAAGTACGAAAGGTTTAAAAAAAAACTAATTTGTAAATATTTAAATTTCACATATTTTTACAAATAAATGATTGTCTCATGTTTAGACATTGAGACGTTTTTCCTATGAGCTTAAATTTTTTTTTCAAATATAAAAATTCTAATATCTTACTTTGCGCAAAAATCTACAAAAAGGAGCCAATTTTGTTTGCGCGAGTGTGTTTCACGTGTTGGAAATACTCCTCTTTATGAATATTTATGAATAAAAACAAGCTGGAAGTATTCATTTTTTTTGCTGCAATTTATGAGTGAAAATATTAAGATAAAAATGATCAACATAATCCTTTTTTTTCCAAAAAAAAAGAGAGAAAAAAAGAAAGAAATTAGAATGTATACTCGAGTCCATTATGCCTCTTAACATTTTTCTCTCTGAACTACTGAATTTTATTAAAACTAAAAGTATATTTCATTAAAAAAAAGATTAAAAAAACTAATGTAAGGCATAGTATATAACCTCAAATTCGAATTACAAAGAAAAAAATTACAGCATAGTATAACAACTAAAAAAGTGTAATACTTGTGTTAATTATAAGCTAATCTAATAATATTAAAGCTCATTTAAAATAAAACTTATAAAAATCAAACCCTAGCCAGAATTTTTTTCAGGGAATTATGGGACTAAACTCTAACTGCATCATTGGCCACAAACCTTATGTATGAAAAATTCATGCAAATTCATAAAATGTCTGAATAATACAAAAAGTTTCTTAAAATCGTCAATAGTTTTAAAATAAAAAACTAAGAGGCTGTTATGTCATTTCGCGTTTTAAAATATTCATCATTTCTTATTATTTCCCCTGAGACTTTGCACGTGCTTTTTGACATGACACAACCCTCGATACAGAAAAAAAGCTTTTGGCAACGAGATATTATCGTTTGTTGATTAAAATGAACCTTCCGGTTACCAAATCTGTTCGATCCATCTTTATCGTCTGCTTTACCACAAATGCAAACTATATCAGGATACAAGTTTGCGGAACAACCTGTCGATCATAATAATAAGTAAGATGTCAATTACGTCATACTTCTCAGACATTCAAATCTTCAACGAGCTGTGGCAACACTAACTATTTTGAATAGCGAGACTTCCTTCGTTTCCTGTTTAGGTCACGCTAAGTTCTTGTGTGTTTTCTTTTTCTTTCGTTTTTTTTTCTTCTTCTAAACAATTAAGCAGTTTCTACAGGGCCTAGATCTTTGCTGCTAATTGCGATGAAAACAATGTCGCTATTTTGTTACCTGTCAGGTTTATTTGAATAGCATTAACAAATAAACTATTGAATCGTAATAAGTGTAAATACAAAGTATCTCTTTATGTAGGAGTCGTATGGACTCACAAAATATCAAATTTTGAATTCATGGACTTGTTGGCAATAGAATGATAAGCCACATTGTTTAGAAGAACGTTATAAACACCAAGAAAACAAGATGGTTATATTCATCATGGTGCAGAGGTATGTGAGTACCTAAAGTAAGCATCTTGATGTCCCAGAATAAAGGGTTATAATCACTGAAAGAGGCAGATAAAAACCTGTTTACATAAAAAATAAAACTACACACGCATTGGAAAGATATATATCAACAAAAATCTAAATCCAACGTTTAAGTTTTTATTTATTTAATCATTTTGTTTCATATAATTTTTTTTATTTTGTAAATCAAAGCAGACATTATTCTATGGTAAAAAATTATTTCAAATCGTGGTCTTCCTTTTTCTTATTTTAACATCCTGAAAATTATTTATAAAATTTATTTGAAAATCATATTAGTTTTATCACCATGAATCGAGCAATAATCAGTTTATGTTTCTAATTCGGGTGATGTATAATTCGAAATATTTTCGTTAACCTCTTTGCTGCTTGAAGAATATAAGTCAAAAATAAAAATTTTTTTAAAATAAAATTTTTGTATTTTTTGAAATGTAAATTTTTTCAGTCACCGATTGGATGTTCCCTTTATCTGGATGCTTGGGGCTCTTGCCCCTTTCCTCTTCTGCATGCCACATAGTTTACTTATCGTGACCTGGTATAATGTATAACTTATTATATCGTTAATTATTGCACATTTTGCAAATTTTTTCTCCGATGGAAATGAAATGACAAAAGCATAAACTGGTGCAAAAGTACTTTCTACTAAAAAGTACTCTGGTGAAAAGTAGTAAAAAAACTCTCTACCCATAAGCATGACAGAAGACGCTTCTTTGAAAAAGGAGAATACTTACAGTTTATTTTCTTTAAACAGCTGAATCGGTTTTAACCCATTCATGCGCAGCCACAAAAGTGAGAAACCGAACCATCTTTTTCAAAGGGTTCTATGAACAAATGGGTTAGTTATATAGTGATACATTAATATGCATAATGTAAGTAAAGTATGCATTGATGGAACGTGTGTTTAAAAGAGATAAAAAAAAGGTAAATTACGTAACATTGTGACTTGCCATAAAACAATGATCCTGGAGACTAATAAGTTAAACCGAAATACAAATATTGAAGAAAAAAGTTTATAACACTAGAGATACTCTTTCGCAAAACATAAATTTTGTCAGCTATACACTAGCTGTCAGCGAAAAAAAAATAATAATTGTGGTCATAGACTACCCTACTAAAATTTGGAGAGAATGCAAACTTTTATATATCGCTCTAAACCATTTCGACGATCTACTAATACGCCAATTCGCCGATTCAGTGACTTACAGCACTTCACGAAATCGCCGATTTATTGTTTTACTGGTACGTCGATTCATTGATTCACTCATATTCCGATTCATTAATTTACTGATACACCACTTCATAAATTCGCCAATTCATTGATTTACCGATACACTAATTTCCTAATTCGTCAATTCATTGATTCCCTGATACGCCAATTCACTAATTGTTGATTCAATGATTTACTGATAAACCAATTCACTAATTCGCCGAACCACTGGTTTACAAATAGACTAATTGACTGATTTGCTAGTCCTCTGAAAATACTATAATGCCAATTTACTAATTCGTCGATTATTGATTAACCAAATCCCTTAAAAAAATTACGAATTCACATCGTAATATTTTATTTTTTATTTTATAACCGTCGTTGAACAGCCGACCCAATTTTATTGATTTACGATGTTCAACTCTGTAGCCTTGTCATTTTGAACCCAATCCAGAAGACAAAGGAACTCCTGGATCGAGTATTGGGAGAAATTTGCCTTCGTGGAGGACTTTTTTGATCGAGCTAACCCGCATTTGCGTTACATGGAGAGGAAGACCACGAGAACCTCCCACGGTTAGCCTGACGGCAAGGGGACTCTAACCCATGATCCGTCTATCACTGAGGATATTTCACGTCAGCACTGTGGTCGGTGCAAGTCGGATGCGGAATTCGTATCGACTGGGATTCGAACCCGGTTCGCCGCATTGGAAGGCGAACGCTCTATCCCCTGTGCCATCGTGGCTCACATCGTAATATGCAATAAATCTCTCAAAGATTATTGTACTTAAACATTATTACATTTTAGCATTATTACATTTAGTATTCTCTGATTTGCTGGTGTGCTGAGATACTATAATGCCAATTTACTAATTCGTCGATTATTGATTAACCAATTCGCTTAAAAAAAAACTTACGAATTCGCATCGTAGTGTGAAGTAAATCTCGCAAAGATTATTGTACTTTAACATTCTTATTACATTTTCGCATCTTCATAATAATTTAGGAAGTGTACCGAAACTTCTGACGGGTAATTAGAATTAAAGAAGCAAAACTAAAGCAGGGTTAAATATGCAGGGTTAGTGCTGATTTGATATCCGGTAGCATTTATGAATGATTCATGAGGTAATGAGAAAGCAATATCTGTTCAAAGGATAATGAAAGAGATATTTTAATGTATACAAATCCTCTGCGGGAGTTAAACAAAGAATGTCTTAGAAGGTAATTGACCTGGTATTAGATAT